ATGCAGAATTGTTCAAAAAGAAAATGGCACTCTTCCTGAAACAGTGCTGGGTGCAACTGATACCCTTAATGTATGATATAGTAATGCATAATACAGTCACATTCTTGAAAAAGAAAGAAATATCTTTAAAGGCCTATTACCAAAATTTGGGCTTACTACGTACTATGAAGGTACCTTAAATATATTATAGATTTACCTGCAGTTTATGCTTCCAAATACTAAGACAATTGAAGATTTTGTAACAGATACATGAGTTCTAGCAAAGGTATTATCAGCAGGCAAAAACATTTGAAAGCCAGGCGCAGTGTATGTAAACAATGCAGCCAAAGAGGAATGAAGCATACCTATACTGTAAAAGTCACACGTGTTAAGTATAACCACAGTTAATATGCACAAAGCAACAAAACAAGTCAAGAAGTATACACAGAAGTGTCAAAGGACTATGAATCTGAATACAGTTTCTTCATAATGTGGGTAGGCTGCAATGACAGAAAGAAGACTGGGTTTGAACAATATCTCCATTGTTTTATCAGAGTGATGCTGGTGTACAAGTTAATCTAATTGCCAAAATTGACTACAACAAATAGAATCCTTTGTCATATTTATGCATGTATCTGAAGTCATGTAATGGGACCCAATAGCTACTTTGGATGGCTGTGAATATAAATGCATTAATACTACTAAATTCACAAAGAAAAAACCTGGGGCTACAATCAGACAAGTTACAAATTACAAATTGTCTATCTTGTTTGCTCAATCAGTATAGAAAGTCATCTTTATATCTACTTATCCATGAAGATTTTTTTTTCTGTGATAGTTCTAATCTCCCAGTAAATTGTTTTCATTATTGTTAATTAAGATGCACAACCAGTAGCACATGCTATGAAAAATTTATCAGTACTGCAAAATGAAAACAAAACTGGACTGAATGAAAACAAACAAACAAAAATATTTGTCAAATTGAAGAACTAAGAGGTTTTAGTCACAATGGAAGTCCCAGGTTTAGCCTGAAACCCAAAGTATTAAGTATGTTATTACAACAGATTTAAGCGTAAGCCAGAACTATATCTAGTAACTACATATATGAAGTCATATATTATAATCACTTCTGATAATCACTATGGGAAGATATACACTTCCCATAGACTCAAAGAGAGCATTACTACATCCTAGCATGAAAAGAATGCTTAGAAGAATTCCAAGGGCAAAGATATTGTCCAGGGAGATGCAGTCAGGTTTTGACACAGATGCTGGATGAAGAAAACACATGCCTATGTACTTTTAATATGCTATATCCTTAGTGCAGCTTTAAATACATACTTCTGCTCCTGAAGTGTTTCATTGCATCATGGAACAATTGATAGAAGGCATCCATGAACCATGGATGACATTCTTTTGTGAGCCACCAAAGAATAAAATTCAGATCTCCACTTCAGTTTTTCTAGATTGGATTGGTTCCTCACCTGCTGTGTGTGTTGCTGCATTTTACATATTTTTATATTATTTTAAAATGTTATTAAGTCTCACAGAGTTATTATGACAAGGGTGGCTATATAAATAAAATATAAACAAATAAATAATAAAACTGATATTACAAAAAAGCCTGTTAGCGGTAGAAGGAAACTAGGCCATCAAAGAATACAGTGGCTGGACACCATCATAGACAACATTAGCCAGAGAATAGAAAAACTCAAAGAAATAGTACAAGATTGGAAGATGTGGAAAGACTTGGCCCATAGAATTGCCAAGAGTCAGACTCAGCTAAATGGATAACATCATCATCATCCTCAAATATAAAAATGAGAAAAAAGCAAATGTTTTAAAGTTCAAGAGAAACACAGAATCTATTTTGTACAGTAATAGCTAGCAAATTACTAATAAAGGATGTAATTAAACCAGGAAATACTAAAGTGCAGGCTATAATAGGTAAATCAAAATTAGGATGCCAGAAAAAGGTTGATAGGATCATGAAAATAGTAAATTATGTCTTTGTCAGTGTATAAGAATTTATGAACTGGAAAAGCCATGGCAACAAGTCAACCAATAGGAACTGTTTGGTGACTGAGACACAGGATTTGTTGTATGAGCCATGTGAGCCGGCTTGGAGCCTGGGCATGGCTTAGCTTAAGTGTTCTGTGCTGTCAGAGTTTGTCTTTGCTTGAGAGTACTTACTACTTCTTCTCTCTACCATGTTGCAAGAGCTGCATGGGTATTGTATACATGCACCATGTTTTATATTGTATATACAGAACTTTCTTCTATATAATGAATCCTGCTGAATTATTTGCTTGTTTGCTGGCTGGATCGCTACAAACTCCGACAGTCTTGAAATTCATTCCTCTTGGGCTCAAATAAAAAATCTGGGGACATTATCATGCAAAGATGTGTCTGCCATTGAGCTTTAGCATGTAACAAAGGATATCCAGATGCCACTTTATACGTTATATGCAGCAAATGTGTAATCAAGAAGCTAACTGAACAGTGTTGACTATTGCACAAATAAGCCATTTTATTTAGGCAGAAGGATTCAACCAAAAGTGATGGTAAATAATGACATGTTCCTTGCAATATGTTAAATTTCTTTTGTCATAGTCCAAGCTGATGTTAATAAATATAGTCAATTCATCTCTCTTTTCATTGCCTCCTCATATATGAGGAACACAGGAAATGGAGAATATTCTAGCAAAGGTTTAGAACAAAAACAGGGAACAGAATCCTGATGGGCACTGATATTCCTGCCAAAATCTCTTATGATGTCATTAAACACCCTGCCACAGCTGACTTTTAATTGTTCCATTTCTTTTAATTAAACAAACAAATCAGATTTGGCATATTGCAAATGAATGAGCTTTCATCATCACTATTATTTCCATCAATGCCTACAGAGTCCACATAAATCTTACAGGAAGTTTGAGAAAATAAAAAAACAGATAATTGGCTACTTTCTGTGGAAATTTCCTCTAATATTTCTCCTATTTCCTTTTTATACAGGTCTTGTATTTCCTCTTTCTGCAGTCATCAGTTTTCACACTAGTTACTTTAACTTTTTTTTCTTTCAGATTCATTTTACCCCCAAATCCAGTAATAATATAATCTGTCTCACAACTTCTTTTCTTTGTATTTTTCATTATTTTCTTCAGTTTTCTAGCATAACCAAACAATGCAAGCATGTTTTAGGATAATTTCCTATGTATATGCAAGACTTGAATACATTATTTAATACTCTCTTATATACAATTTAGCCCTTTCACTCATAATCTACACCTTCACTTCCATACTTATATTCATCACCCCTGTTCCCCAAGATTGGGGTGGGCAATTGTCACTCTTTTACAACCTGTGGACTTCAACTCCCAGAATTCCTGAGACAGCTTGGCTGTCTCAGGAATTCTGGGAGTTGAAGTCCACAGGTTGTAAAAGAGCCAAAATTGCCTACCCCTGCCCAAGATCAAACATCAGTTGAATTTGTTACCTCATTCCTTTTTTCTATTAGTTTTATACAGGTATAACCATTTTCCTTTCACACATTTTATACATTAATTCATGTTGTTTACTGTGTACATCTCTTGCATTCCATGTCACAGTCTTACAAATGTTGTGGCTGTGCTAGACTGCTAGTTGGTACATCTTCATTGCCCATCATGGCTATGGTCTGTTGAGGCTTTGTGTGCAATTTTAGTTAGATACAGAAGATGTAGATTAGATTATCAGTCTTAGTTATAAGGATAGATTAGATAGATAGATAGATAGATAGATAGATAGATAGATAGATAGATAGATAGAATTCTTTATTGGCCAAGTGTGATTGGACACACAAGGAATTTGTCTTTGGTGCATATGCTCTCAGTGTACATAAAAAGACAAGATACGTTCATCAAGAATCATAAGGTACAACACTTAATGATAGTCATAGGGTAAAAATAAGCAATCAAGTCATACTAGGAAACAATATAAATTGTAAGGATACAGCAACAAATTACAGTCATACAGTCATAAGTGGGAAAAGATGGGTGATAGGAACAATGAGAAGATTAATAGTAATGCAACTTAGTGAATAGTTTCACTAAGCACAATTAAAAGCACAACAAAGAATGTTCTTTCTGCGCCAACTCAGAAAGTTCAAACTGCCCAAGGAGCATGCTGATAGCTGCTGATACAGTTCTACAGAGGAATTATTGAGTCTGTCATCTGCACCTCTATAACTGTCTGGTTTGGCTCTGCAATTCAACAAGACAGACACAGACTTCAGAGGACAATTAGAACTGCAGAAAAAACAATTGCTACCAACCTGCCTTCCATTGAGGACCTGTAGAGTCAAAAAGAGGGCTGTGAAAATTACAGACCCCTCACATCCTAGACATAAACTGTTTCAACTCCTACGCTCAAAACAACGCTATAGAGCACTGCACACCAGAACAATTAGACACAAGAACAGTTTTTTCCTGAATGCCATCATTCTGCTAAACAAATAATTCCCTCAACACTGTCAAACTATTTACTAAGTTTACACTACTATTAATCTTCTCATCATTCTCACCACCCATCTCCTTCCACTTATGACTGTATGACTATAATTTTGTTGTTGGTATCCTTACGATTTATATTGATATTGTTTCCTGATGGCTTATTTGTACCCTATGATTATCATTAAGTGTTGTACCTTATGATTCTTGATGAACGTATCTTTTATTTTATGTACACTGAGAGCATATGCACCAAAACAAATTCCTTGTGTCCAATCACACTTGACCAATAAAAATTCTATTCTATTCTATTCTAGTTTGACAGTGTTGAGGGAATTATTTGTTTAGCAGAGTGATGGTGTTTGGGAAAAAACTGTTCTTGTGTCTAGTTGTTCTGATGTGCAGTGCTCTATAGCGTCGTTTTGAGGGTAAAACCATGTGCTGCCTTGAAGAATTTTCACCACAGTAGAAGAATAAATAATTGTTAAAAGCACAAATTTGAAAGTAGCATAATGGTTTGAATTTTGATTTTTGTAGATAATTGCATTTGATGAGTTAAAGACAGACTTCAAGAGTCCTATAGACCAGTGCAACCCAACACATGCGGTAAGTACTGCTCTTTGATTTAATAATAACTAACTAATTTAATTAAAACTATATTTTGAAAATGTAGTGTTAAATGTAATCTTATGATTTTCAATAAGCATTGAAAAATGCCATTCCTAGTACCTTCACGGACAGGCCCTTATAGTTTTCTTGGCAACTGTATGCAAGTTGGTTGCCATTGTTTTTGACCTCCCTGTCCAAACCTTCTATAAGTGATTTTTATTTTAATATGTAAATATAGTGAGCCTGGTCTTGACATAATTATTTCTGATTCAGAAATGAAAGTTCCTGCAATAAAACCCCATAAACTAAAGGCTGATTCATGCAATCTATAATTGGCTAAGGTATTTAATGCTGGTTGCATGCTGTAGCTGAATGCTCTGTAATTCTTTTCAGAGAGACATACTTTCTATAGAAGCGATATAAATACACATAATTTATAGGTGCACTTCTCAAGGAGAATTTGTGGCCCCACTGTCTTCATTAGACTCTGAGAAAAAGCTAAATCAATCAATCAATCTTTAGAAAGGATACCTTTGGAGGTCAAATAAAATCATGGTTTCCTGCAGGATGAACTAGATACAATTATTTAATATTAACCTCTTATTTATTGAATGTTGAATGTTGACAAATGGCTAATAATATAAAAATTAAAATTAAAACATGATAAAAACAAGGCAAAGTAATATTGTGAGTCAGTAACAAACTAAAATAGTATTATAATAATGTAATGTTAGATGGGCATGCCTAAAGAAATGTACTGTATGTTAGCTAACCTTCTAAATGCAAAGAGATGTAATAGTATCTGCACACAATTTCATACAGAAGATATTCCATAACTTTGAAGTGATGGGGAACTTTAGTATTTTTCAAAGGATACTAATAGCAGTCCAAGGCAGATAGTCTGCAGATATGGATTGAGAGAAGCAATTAACACTCTGGCGTACATTTCAAGAAGTTTGGGAGAAGCTCAAGGGATCAGGAGTAGATTTGATTGCAGGATGCAAATGCAATAAATAGACAAAGAATGCAGATGACACTGTCTCAGATTCAGGCTAATACAAGCCTATTGTACAGTTCTTAAATCTCTTCTGGAATTTCCAGGAGGAGACTTGAATCATCCATATTCTGTTTTTAAGCAATCATTGTTTCCTAGAATTCATGGAACTGTGTTTTGTTTAAATTGTAATGCACAAAACAGGATCAGGTGCCATAGTTTGCCTTTGGACTGTTTGACATAATTGGAGTATAAAATCTCCAGCTGAAATTAGTGTCTTTTAATGTGGGATGTAGGAGTCCTGGTGGCGCAGTGGTTAGAATGCAGTATTTCAGGCTGTTCACAGTCTGGAGTTTGATCCTCACACGCTCAAGGTTGACTCAGGCTTTCTTTCCTGATTGGAAAGGATCCGGATAATCCACTTCCTCCAAGGCCCTTTGAAGCTGTTGCACAACCATCTTCTCCACCACCCTCCTCAAGAAAGGGAAGAGAGACACTGGACAAAAATTGTCCCATATGGTGGGATCCAATGATGTTTTCTTGAGGAGGGGTGAATCAAGGCCTTCTTAAGAGATAAAGGAACAACTCTCTCACTCAAAGAAGACTCAACCTTCATCAGAACCCATTCACATGACACCTCCCAAGCCACTTTGACAAACAAAGCAAGGTATGGATCTAAAAAGCAGATGGCAAAGCTTACAGTACTGAGGAACCTGTCTACTTCCTTAGATCTAAATGGTTGCAAGAAACCAGGCAAGACTTCTCCCTGGGTATCTTCTCATCATATTCTTTTTATCCTGACATGTGAGCAGCACATATTGTCTAGCATGCACTAGATGAAGAGAGAAGTGAGAATATGTGAGGCTAAGCCTTCCCACAGTTTTTGCATGCAGTTGGAAATCTGTCTTCATTGTATTTAAATAATTTAATGGCAAACTAGTGAGGTTTGTAAATTGCCTTGCACTGATCATTATCTTCCCCCTTTCTCCCAATTTTGTTTTCACTGACTGACAGTAGCTCTCAAATATTTCAGATATAGATCTTTATTAAAGTGTGTGAAGCACCACAATTTCATTGAGTAAAGCATCTGTGTTCTTTGGAAAGCTCGTGCAGCTGGTTATCTTTATATTTGTGTACATATGCTGACCACACTTTCTCTGGAATTACCAATGAAACGAAGCAGCTGCACATGCATTCACACATGTTGACAGCCAGGGAAAAGGAGCTGAACAAGCCTTCCAAATGACATGCCTACTCTAACATTTTGAGGATGGGAGGCCTTGCAATTTCTGGTGTGCTTAGCAAAGCACTCTCTTTCAAATGCTTTGTGCAGTCCCAGTGTTTAGTCATCCAGCCGCTGGTTTTTTTTAAACTCAAATTGCCACAGATCATACTTGGATCTAAAACAAGGAAGCAAGTGATCTGATTTGCAACTTTCCTCATAGGGCACAGGACTATATTTCTCAACAGAATGTAATGTGGTAACCCAATCCATAGATATGACCCTGCAGTTTGCTATGTAACATCTCCTCAAATTATGTAATGGGAAAACAGTTCTGTGAAACCTCAGCCCCAAGGTGATCCAGTTTAAGATGTAACTGATAGAAAATCTTGTATGCTTAAGTCTGATAATTACAATTAACTCTGTTGTTTCTAGAAAAGTACCCACAATTCAAGTTTCTGCTGATCTCATTTAGACAACTGTATTGTACATCCTCAGGAAGCATTTTTTTCTCCTTAGAGAACATTTTTACATTTAAACTCTACAATAAAAGCTTAGCTACTTCAAGGCAGCATGAAAATACCTGCTGATCATGCAAGAATAATGGTTGTTACATATATACTATATTTCGAGAAAATAAGGTGGGACTTTCACAGTATAAGGAGAACTTATAAGATAAAGCAAAAAGCATAATGTTCTTTAGTACCATTATGTGTTTCTGTCTTCCATAGTTCGTTCCTCTGTGGCAGCAAGCTCATCTTATATATCATCAAACTATAAGCTCCTAATTTTATCCCTTGCATGAATTTCCAGGAATCAGTTGCTAACTTTAAAGTTGCAGTAGAAAATTTGTAATTAACCAATCACTGCTGAACTACAGTTTCTAATATGCTGGGAGTTGTAGTTCAGATTTGGGACTAACTTCAGTTGTCTTGGCAAAAGTGAAAACATTTGATATAATTGAAATATGTTTAGATGATCTCAGTAGATTACTAAGGCAGTACCATGCAAATTATACCAGAGGCTAGTATATTATAGACTTTCTTCTGAGATCAGGTAAAATATTTGTTGATCCACATGATTTGTTCAATTGTAGGTCTCTTAAATTGTATAGTTTTACTCCATCTTTTCCCACTTTCCTTTGACAGAGAGAGCGGTTGAGAAACATTGAACGGATCTGCTTTCTTCTGAGAAAGGTAAAAATTAATCCAGATTGGTTTTGTTGAAGGGAAGCAAACCATCATGTTCTTATGAGCAGCAATACATTCCCTTTTTTAATAGTAATTTTATTAAAATTACAACTATGATAAAAAATGAATACAAATCAAAAATATAAAAACAGAAGGTACAGAAAGAAAAAAAAATATAGTAGAGAAAAATAAAAGAAATATATAAATGACTTCCGTTCATCGTAATATATAGTAGAAACAATTTTTAACTTAGTTCCTTCTCTTAAAGTACAACAGATGATTTATTCTTCCCATATCACATCTCTCATCTATAAACTAATCCTTAAAACTTCATCATCTCAGTCCTGATGTCAGCAAAAGTCCATTAAAATTATCAGAGATAACAACAGATCTATTTTAACCTTGATCAAATAATCCACCTTTATATTCCTTCCTTTTAATAATCTTGATCTTTAGTTCCTTCAAATAATGTTCTAAAATTTTATGTCATTCCATTTTTCTTTGTTCCATCTCACAAAATTTTTCAAAGCTTTATCAACCCTTTTTTGTAGATCCAGTATGGGAAGATTATCCAGGTCATTCTCCTGGTTTGTTATTTATGTATCCCTTTTACTTGTAAAGGAAACAGTTGGTTTCTTTCGTATTGCACTATTGAAACTAACTTCTGGGTCCATTGTTGAAAAATATCCTTCAGTAAATTGAATGTTAAAATATTTTGCTCCATTCTGTATTAGTAAATAAAATTTAAGTGTTCTTTTCTTTTAATTGTCATCTTTAGTTCCTTTTAGTTCCTTCAGTGTCAAACTTTCAAGGACCCAGACTTTTTTTTAAAGAATTCAAAATAAAAAAATATTTTCCCATAGGAAGGATTCTTATACTTAATTTCAAAATCTTATTTCAAATTTATCTGGAACCTCTAGTCTGTTTGTAACTTTTTAAATCAAAGTTTTGTTCACCCTTGCTGTTTATTCCAGAATAATTTGTTTAAGTCTTTAAACTTTTATTTAAATCTTCTTTCATTAAGAAATGAAAGAAATTCACCTGGTGTTGTAAAATTTGTCGATCCAAAAGTCCTAATAGCTGAAAAGCAGTTAAGCAATTTCTGAAAATGATTAGAAGAGGAAATATGCAAACTCAGTGCCCTTCAAAGTTCCAACTATGGGTTGACCAGGATAGCTATTCCCATATCTTCGAGAGCACTAAATCCACTGGAGACTGCTGTCTTCTGATCTCCTTATAAGGAACAGCTTTGAGAAGAACTTGTGGATGATCTTGATAGTCCATTGTGGAAAGTCCATTTCTTGTCGTAAGAACTGGTCTCCTTGCTGGCTCTTCATTCTGCGGCAGGCTTCAGCTACGCTTTTAACAGAGATAACTTCAGTTTGCCATTTCTTCCCTAGAAGTCAATAATAATGCATGGTTACTTATTTTCTAGAGAAGATTATAAATGGTAAAGAAAAAATTGACAGTTTGATGAACTTTGTAGGAAAGGAATGAAACTAATTACAAGGGACTTCCATTCAGTCTACAACATTCCCTCCCCCCCAAAAAACCCCAAACTTTTGAGAACATCATTCTGTTCAATCCCCTCATTTTTAAGACAATTTATAACTTCTAGACGCGTAATTGGTGTATGGCATTTATCTTTATCTTTCTGTACTTAGACTTATGATTGGTGTAATGATCCTAAATTGGGATATAATAAAAGGAATAATAGATATATAATAGAACGTTATGCATAGTCTGAAGAAAATAGAAGAATTTTTTCTCATTTTCTCCTGTGGTTTTAGTTATATAATGAAGCTGAACTTGAAAGCTGAGTATTTTTATTTTTTACAAAATAAAGGGTTGCAAGGTGGCATGTTTTTTTTTCATTTGTTGTTTAACTGGCTGAGTGGTAAATGGCTTTCTTTTCCTCTGTACTTTAATATCCATTTTTCTGTATGGTTGGTTCATACAGCAATTTTGTATAACTGCAATGAAAAATAGTATAAAAATTCTCTTTCCCTTCACACTTGTTGAAAATCATTTGCATTCATTTTTACACAGTGCTTGAACAGATTGGACACTCTTTGCCTACATGCCAAATTTCTAATAAGGAATTGAGAAAAATGTGAGGAAATTGGAGGAAATACTGTATACACAACACATATAAAATTACAAGAAATAAATCAGATTTATTTTTTTGGGATTTGTTTTCTTATTCACATGTGTCTTGTCATGAACATGCTAGAAAGGAAACCCAGGATCTATGCAAACATGTCTGAAAATAAGTGGTATGCCCTCCACTCTCATTCCACCTCTCTTTGAGCATTTTATATATCAGAAACATTTTTTTACCTTTAGAAACTGCAAGAAAATATTATGCTGTATGCTTGCAAATATTTCCTTGTACCACACAAAATATTTTTTCTTCTGATTATATTTTTCTAGAGGATTCTTTAAAAGAAATGGTAAAAAATTGGGTATATAAACATAGCCATAAGGATTTTAATACTTTTATTATGTATGTGGGGTCTATTCTCTTTTCATCATGCCTCGTCCTTTTGCTTGTGAAAAAAATGAGGAAAGAGACAAATGACAAAACTCATATATGAGTTTTAAAGACTAAGACAACTTCTATATGGCAGAAAAAATGCAAAAGACTCTTAGTGCTTTGTCCCAACTGTTTGCCTTGGGCATGGACCACTCTCCTTATGCCCCATTATGGGTTTAATTTGTTGCTACTTGTGGAAGGATTTATTTGATTTAGATAAATCTGCTGTTGAGATACTCTGTTCTCTGCCTGGGTGGATTGAAGAGGCTAAAATGGCCTGGTTGGATGGATGCTTTACCTTCATTATAAAAAATGGCAGACTTAGTATTAAATCAGTAGAGATTCTATCGATGTTCATGTCTTTGGTTTTTCGAATATGCCTCTCAACTTTAATCTTCATAACTAGACAGCTGTATACAAACATGCTCAACATTTTTATATCTGTTTAATCAATACAGTAAGATCTTGTTGGAGTTATACAATATGCTTGATAATCTTTACAATTCTGTTCAAAGTGTAGTCTTCTACACTTCTTTATTATTGAAGAAGTGTATTTTCATAGTAGCTTGTACTCCAAGATCAAATTCCTAGCATTTCTACATTGGCCTTCAAGCTGCTTCTTGTCCTTGTAGGTGATACCACCAACCACCTTAGTATTGAGATGAAGTCAAAAGCTCTTCTAAAAATAATATAACTGTTATTTGCTTAGCCACCTTTTGGTTTTAAGCTGTGACCCAATTTTTATAAAGCTAGCAACAGCTGGTGATCATTTTATTAATATATGCGCAAGGCATGGAGATGTCTTGCTGACATCAGCCTTTAATTTCTTTTGAGTCTAAATATCCTTACTTACAGCAGAAATGGCAGCTCTTGGCTAATACAGACTAAAACTGTAGAAACAACAGACTGAAAGGAATAAAAGATAGCATATATTTCATAAACTCATTGGTTAGTGCAGCTTGTCTTTGCTGATAAGCTGCTTTTTGGTGGAGTTTTTTGCTTTGGGAAGAAAAGAAAACAGGATAATTCAAGAAGCAATTGAATGGAATTGTTTTTGCCTACTTAGCAATTGTGAGGCATTCATGGTTTGGCAGCAGAGCTTTGGGGAGCAATTAGAACACAGTACTAATAAAACAAAAATTAGGACACATGCAGCTTTTAACAACTCCTGAAGATATCTGACCTCATTATAATATGGCTCCTCATGCCATCTCTAGTAGTCAGATATTTGTGTGCCTTTCTTCTTTTTAAAATGCCTGCCTGCCTATCTTCCATAATCACAAGACCTTTCTCTGACTCAAGACATTATAGATTTTGAAAGGATCTTGGAGATCTTCTAGACAAATGGATGTCCAATTTTTGCTTGAATATCTTCAAGGAAGCAACATTCATGACTCCTGGAGGAAGGTCTTTCTACTGTTTAACTGGTCTTGTGATCAGAAAATTACTTCTTATTTCATCTCTCTCCCTCCCCCCTCTCCCTCCCTCCCCCATCTCTCCCCCCTCCCTCTCCTTTCACCAATAATTCTTTTCATACTCTTGGGCATTATGAAAAATAAATTTACACTCTCAGTTACCACTAACCCTAACCCTTAGTTTTCTCTTCTTTAGGCTAAATATTCCGACCTTTAAAAATGTTTTTTATAGGATTTAGCCTCAAAGTCCCTCACCATCTTTATTACTCTATTTGCACTTTGAATGCTCATTATTTGGTCTTTTTGTTCCCTTTTTGGCTTGTTGATTGTATCTTTTGCACAGTATGTAGATGTTGTTTATGTCTATGTGTCTATTGATGGCCAATATGTCAGAGTGCCAGGCTTCCAGAAATTTTCTAGCATTTTTTGACTTGGTTTGATTTAGGATGGCCACAGTTTCCTAGTTGAAACTATGGTTAATTTTGTCCATATGTTGTTAAATTAAGGACTTTTTATCATGTCTTCTGACTGCAAGTTGGTATTTATGAATGTGTTCTGCTAGTCTTCTGCCTGTTTGTCCTACATAGTGACTGTTGCAGTCTTTACACTTTATGTTATAGATGACTCCTGTTTTTGTCTTCTGTAGCTGCTGCATCTTTTGGTTTACTTAGGATGCTTTGGAGGGCTTTAGTTCATGTGTGTGCTACACTGATTCCATCTAGTTGTAATAGTCTCTGTTGGTGGTTTCTGATATGTTTTTGATGGCAGTGTTATTTTTACTACTTGTGTTGGTTGTGCAATAGTGGGTTGAGTGATCAGGCACTTTTTGACAAAGCTGTGTGGATATCCATTTTGTTGGAAAATGTTGTATAGATGCTCTATTTCCTTTTTCTACAAGCTAACAACCAAGTTCAGAGAGCACCAAGGACCTCTCATTTCAACCTGAGCTACAAATATTCTCCTTTTTCACTTGAGAAATCCAATATCACTATTTGTATTGCTAATATTCACTTAGATGTTCAAGGGCTTTCTTAATTCATTATATCCAAGTGAGG